ATCTCTGGTCCAGTCACATGCAATACAGGAGGAGGCATCTCTTTCATTTGCTGAAACAAGCTTTCTAAATCATCAATAAATACGAATTTTTTGAGAACAAACATTTAAGGGGGCAAGGATGAACGGGCTGAAAGAGATTTAGCATCCACTCAGAATTTCTAAGAATCAAAGTATTTCCCTTCAGCACATTGCATTTGAAGTTAGTTTCTTAAAGATTTTTCAACATTCCATTCCTTCTAAGGACTTGATAGGCAGTGACAGGCATATTCTGCAATGCCAACTCTAGGTAATAACCTAACCAGTTCAAGAGGAGTCAGGGAATTCCTCTGCAAGATATGGAACAGTTTATTCCCAATGCAAAAAGCAGTTTAATCTTATCAATGAACACACCGAATCGTAAGCACAATACAATATTTCCCCTGCATGGAAAAATGAGATTTGTCTTTGAAAAATCCAATTTCCTCCAATAAGCCACAGCAAACAGCATCTTGCAAAACAGTGTGGGAACAGTTAAGAGCCCATGAAAACTATAAGCTACGTTTTCTTTGTCATTGTGCGTTCATGCCTGTTATTTCAGATGTAGAAACTTAGCAGCCTGAAAAGAGCAGCATGGGAAGAGGAAGTGGCTTTCTGAACAGCCAGTCTTACTAATTACTTATAAAAAGCAGAGTCCTGTTGGAATTTGAAATAGGAGAGTATGAATAATTCCCATTTATCTTCCCACAAATGGACAGAACTTTCCCCTTTGGTTTCAACTGGTGAAATGAAAGGGCACCAGAAACAGTCAGATTCCACATGTATCTGTAGCCTTAAGCTCCCACTTATGTAATCAGTGAGTCAGCATGCTCCAAATACCAACAATTCTTTTTAAAAACAACAATATAATGAATCAACCAGAGGAAACAATTCAGAGGATATTTCCCTCTGCAAAGCACAAATCCAAAGTTTTCAAGTATCAGAAACACCAGAGGGTGTGCTGTGCAACATAGCCCCAGCATGTTTATGTTCTTTTACAAAAACACAACCTTACAAATCGCTGGCTGGTGACAGACAATAGTCTGAGAGTTGAAGCATAACGGTGCCATTGCTTTCCATACTTCAGACATGGTTTTTGTTTGTTTGGCCCTATACTATTGGGTCCGATTACATTTTCTTCAGTTTAGCCTTTTTCTAAAACAAACCATTTCTTTAAGCACTAGAATTCGGGTGAAGACATAATATCTAGAAATTAAATATTATTGTTAGCTTTCTACTTCATTGTTACAAAAAGAGATTCAAATAATTCTAAACAGACTCATATGATATCATCTTCATCTACAGGCCTCCCCTGCAAGGCCATGCTCAGCTGGAAGATTCTTAATTTCAGGGTCATGGCTTCATGTTGGGGGAAATAATAATAGTAATAATAACTTTATTATTTATACCCTGCCCATCTTGCTAGGTTTCCCCAGCCACTCTGGGTGGCTTAAAGGTAAAGGACCCCTGACAGTTAAGTCCAGTCGTGAACGACTCTGGGGTTGCGGCGCTCATCTTGCTTTACTGGCCGAGGGAGCTGATGTTAAAATTTCCCAATACAGGGCTGCCTTCAGATGTCTTCTAAAAGTCGGATAGTTGTTTACAGTGGTACCTCGAGTTACAAACGCCTCAGGTTACAAACGCTTCAGGTTATAAACTCCGCTAACCTGGAAGAGTTACCTCGAGTTGAGAACTTTGCCCCAGGATGAGAACAGAAATCGTGTGCCGGCGGCGCAGCAGAAGCAAGAGGCCCCATTAGCAAAAGCGCGACTCAGGTTAAGAACTGTTTCAGGTTAAGAACGGACCTCCGGAAGTTCGTAACTAGGGGTACCACTGTATTTCCTTGAAAGATTCCTGCACTGCAGAGGATTGGACTAGATGACCCTCGTGGTCCCTTCCAACTCTACATTTTTGTGATCTTGGAACTTACTGTATTTTTCGCTCTATAACACGCACCTGACCATAACACGCACATTGTTTTTAGAGGAGGAAAACAAGGGAAAAAACATTCTGAATGAAACAGTGGATGTATCATTTTTGTGCTTCATGCTGTGGCCACAGACATGTGATCTGATGGTGAATTTGGGGTGACCCAATGCAAAGATCCTGAGGATCCCTGTGGATCCATGCTTTTTAACCACGTTTTTGCACCATTGCAGCCCCAGGCAACAGTGGGTGCGTGATTTTTTTGGTGCAGGCTGTAGCCATGGACATGCTATGTGATCTGATGGTGAATTTGGGGTGACCCAATGCAAAGATCCTGAGGATCCATGTTGATCTATGCTTTGTAACCACATTTTAAGTGGGGAGCGAAGGAAAAACAAAGAAGGGACATGAGAGGGGTGTGCAGAGAAGCAGCTGGCTAAGAATGCTGGAGAGGGATAACGGGTGGGAGGAAAGATAGGCAAAAGTTCCCCCCCCAAGCCAGCCATCTCTCTCTCTCTCTCTCTCTCTCTCTCTCTCTCTCTCTCTCTCCCCCTCCCTCCCTCCCTCCCCCCTCTCTCTCCCTCTCCCTCCCCCACTCTCTCTCCCTCTCCCCCAGCAGCACCGGAGCACAGAGAGGAATTAGAAAGAACGACACTCTGCTTGCCTGGAGGGGCGGGGCTTTCCCTGCTCTTTGTTCCGTTTCAGCAAACACAGCAACGAAACAGAGGAGGGTGGGCAGTAAGACCCTGAGGCAGAATGCAGGAAAGCTGCCACTTCCTCTTTTCAGGTTTCCCTTCTCCGTGAAGCGCGATTTGACTTTTGCTTGATTTTTTGGCTCCAGGGACCACACATTCGCTCTATAACACGCACAGACATTTCCCCTTCCTTTTTAGGAGAAAAAATCTGCGTGTTATAGAGGGAAAAATACGGTATTTCTCCAGAACCATTAAGAATCAGCTTCCACATAACTATGAGCACACATGTGCTTTTCTCTGCCCTGATTGTGGTAAATATGTAGTTTTAATATTTATTTCAGAACAAAGCATATTCCTTGAAGTCACCCTTTGTTCGAATGTCGTAAGCTCTAACCACTCCTCAAAACTAAACAAAAATCAATACATTTCATAACAAATTGAAAAATTTAGAAAGCCCATTGCTTCTCAAATAATAAAATATTTTTAATGTTGTTAGATCAGTTCTGGGGTATTTTTCTTCCCATATAACAATTCAGTACAAACCAATAATGTGTTCATTAAAAAAGAGGGAGAACATTTACCCTTCAATCAGCCAGCTAGCCAGCCATATCAAAACCTATTTTTTTATAAGCTTCCTTCCTTCCATCATGAAACTCAAGGTGTCAAGCATGTTCCCAGGCAAGCTCCCAGACAGACACCGACCAACCTTAGACCTGCTCACAGACCATGAAGCAATGACTTGGAGCATCAAAACACAGCTGTAAAACCCAAACAAGCCAAAACAGCTGTAACCATACAGGTTGCAATATATGCAGCACTGCATTTTGAGGAAAGTCTCTTTATCAAGGAAACTTATTCACCTACCGTATTTTTCACACCATAGGGCGCACCGGACCATAGGGCGCACCCAGTTTTTTTGGGGGGAAATAAAGGGGAAAAAATTATTTCCCCCCCAGGCGCGGGGCTGGGGCAGGGGAAGCTCGAGCTTCCCCCGACCCCAGCCCCCAAACAGGCAGCTCTCTGCAAGCCGTGGGAGCGCTCCCGCTGCTTGCGGAGAGGTCCGCGAAGCCTGGACGCGCTGAGCTCAGCGCGCGCAGGCTTCAGCATGCAGGCAAGTCTACGCAAGCAGCGGGAGCGCTCCCGCTGCTTGTGGAGAGGTCCGCGAAGCCTGGAGAGCGTGAGGGGTTGGTGCGCACCGACCCCTCTCACTCTCCAGGCTTCAGCGAAAGCCTGCATTCGCACCATAGGACGCACACACATTTCCCCTTCATTTTTGGAGGGGAAAAAGTGCGTCCTATGGTGCGAAAAATATGGTACTTCCAATGCTTCTCCTAAATGCCGGGATGGCTAACCTTTTGCCCTCTAACATCACTGGACTCCAAATACCATCAGCAACAGCCAGGGAGGATGGAAGTTGTAGTCAAGGAACAGCTGGGATGACTACGCCTTCCCCATTCTTGCTCCTATACTTCCTAAGGTGCTAATTGAGGCTACCTCACTTCTGGAGCGAGCAAAAAGTGAAGAAACCTCAAGAAACTCATTAGGAAACAATCAGAGACACTGAAGACAACCCCTTACATCTTTTGGATCGTGATTCTGACTTTGGATGTTGACACAAAGACACACACACACCCCCTGAAGAAATATATTCCTGGTCAGCTCCCCACAATTCGGACATTTCCTCAGGCTCAGTCATAAAACCTGCTGTCTTAGGACGATATTTTGCTAGCGAGTCCTGTCAGCTCAAGGATTTTCACTTGTGCAACAGAACGTCCCCCCTCCTCCTCTTGCACTGCCCCACAACCTCCCCCCAATCTGTTCCAATGGGCTGGGGAAACCCCCTAATGGGATATCTGTTCATAGACCCTCCCTCAAATGTTTTTTAAGAAGTACCACCAAATTAGGCTTGCCATACATCAGGAAAATTCCTGGCATGTCCTGGTTTTCAGGTGTAAAAATGGCGTCAGGGGGAATTTAGCTCAACAACTGCAGGTGTCAGGAATTTAACTTTTTGAAATACGGCAACCCCACACCAAATACTACTAGTATTTCTGCTCCCATGCTTTTCTGGGAAGAAATCCCCCTTCTGAATACATGTGTGTATAAACTTTAAGTTTCAAAAGCACAAATCTTGCCATTCAATGATAAATGGTAGAAAGGCTATAAAAACCAGTAAAACGAATTGCCAAACAAATGTTATTACATAAAAAACAGACATTAAAGTAGCATTTACAAGCATGGCTATCCCTCTGCAATCGTTAGAATTGGAAACACGACTGCACCCCGTCAATTGTTTGCTGGGAACAGTCATAGGATAGTTGTGCTATCAAAACAATCTACAAAGTTAAAAATCTGATAGGTTACCTTTATAATCAATGGCAGGTTTGCAGGCTTGAAGGATTTTCGGCATGGCAATTCCCATGTCCAGTTCAGTTAGTGTTAGTTCATTCATGAAATATGGCAACTGAATGAATGAAAAAGAGAGTCTCTTTAAAGCATTAAAGTACATGCAGTATCCGGAAATTAAGTCCTATTGTGTTCAACAGGGTTTACTAATCTGACTTCCTAGTTAAGTGTAACTGGAGCCAAAGTATTGAGAAGATATGGAGAAGGTTTCTTAAAAGCAGGGGTGGGCTGAAGACGGGTGCCGGGGGCCACATTGGGCACCATTGTGTGGAACAACGGAATATAAATTTTAATATAATCATATTATTTCTGGTAGCCACACACTGCCTGTATAGAACTCTTCACTAGATAGACTTTTATCGCATATAAGAATTCACTTCTTGCTTACATTCTTAGGTATGCAAACTCAGGATACTCACCCTGGGGATTCTGTTGTTGTTTTTTAAGTAGTAACCTATACATTATTGAAATCCCACGATATCTCTATCTCTATCTATATCTATGATATTCAAAAGGTAATGTTTCAAATACCTTGGGCTGAATCTAGGCTTAGTAGTCATTTGTGTTTAGGTTCGAGAAAGGTAATATAACCAACATAGGTTACTGCTCTTTGCAAGATAACGGAGAGGGATAAAATGTTATTACAATGTTATTTGCACTATCAGTTAAAAGAACTGAATACTTTGGTCTCTTGTTTGCCCGCGGGAACAGACAGGAAGACTGAAGCAAAGCCCTTCTGGAGACAGATTTCTGAGGGTTTTACATTTCCCAAAAGGGTCAGAAAAGCTGGCAAGCCCTGCTTTATCCATCGTTGTAAAGAGCGACATTGTTGTCGCCCCTCACCGGCCAGTCCCAGGGCAGATTAATACCATTTAACAGTTCACAATTAAAAACAGATTACAGTCACAGGAATTGGGTGGGTACTGAAAACATGCGTCTCAGGTGTGCAACGCCAGGAAAAAGAAGTGGCAGGAGAGAGTAAGTGCAGGGGCCGAGAAAAAAAATCGATTTGTGGGAGGGGAATCAATATACGGACTGAACAATCCAAGCCCTGCTTTGAACCAGACTAGAGTAGGGATGGGGCCGGATTGGGGAGAGATGTTCCTCTTCCTGGCCCTGCAGGTCTACTTCAGCTTCCCACTGCCTAGTGCCCAAGGAATGATGGCAGGCGGACATGACATTGACAGGATCCCCAATGGATTCACCAGCAGAAACACACACACACCCCACACACATGGAACTTTCCAAGTTGGGGTGAGGCTGAGTCAGCTGAATGCATCAGGGCTGTGGATGCAGCCCTTGTTACTGAGCTAGCCTGGAGCTACACAGTACATTCCCTATTCTAGAAAAAAGAGAGCTGAGTCTTGGAAAAACGGCCCATACCTTTATTTTGCTGAGCTTCATTTGTATCTTCTTGGACACCATGTCAGACCAGTACTTTTCTCCCAAGAAATCCCAAAATATTCTTCCCAGCAAGGCGTTCACCCATGCTTCCTGCGTCTCTTCTTCACAATGGACATCGGATGGCAACTGGTAAGAGAGAGAGAGTGAGTTTCCCTACTTTCAGCAACTCTGGCGTGGCTATCGAAAATGTACAACAACGCCAACCCTGGGCTGCTAGCCACACAGCAGGCTTCACAAGCTAACAAGAACCTCTCTATAGAAAGGGGTATCGTTTTATCTCCCCAACAACAAGTTAAGCTTATTCCACAGGCATAATTCAAAGGCATTTCCCAACGTGGACAATCCTTTGAAAACAAGGGGTCATTTTAGCAACGGTGAAGAGCTGATGCCAACAGTTTATTTTCTTTTTGAAGAAAGCCAACACTAAGAAGGTAGCCTGAAACCAGGCTGGAGACAGAAAATAAGGGGGTGGAGAGAAGCTTTGCCTCTTATACTGTGCAAACATTTATTTTGCTCCCCTGTCCCATCTGGTCAAACACAGCGGAATTGCAAAATAACCCAAGAGGCTATACAATATACAATACAAGTAACCCTGTCTGTATAAGACTGTCCTAAGAAGTCTTAGGCGTGGTGTGGGGAGCAGAATCCCTTTTCTCCCATCTTAGTACTAACTGCACTTCTTTCTCATGCTTCTTTGGTAACTGCAGGGAGCACACATCTAACGGTGAAGAAAATGTTGGATGTGCACATACCTGGGGAAAGAAAGGAAACACGAGCAACTCACATTTCCTGAGGAATGGCCGAAGTCACACAGATAATAGTAGTAGATTGTTAGCGGGGGGCACGTATAATAATAATAATAATAATAATAATAATAATAATAATAATAAATCATTTTATGCCCCACCCATACGGCTGGGCTTCTCCAGCCACTCTGGGCAGCTTCCTGCACATATAAGAACATAAGACGTCTAACATTAAAAACTTCCCAAAACAGGGCTGCCTTCAGGTGTCTTCCGAAAGTTCTGTAATTCTTTATCTCCTTGACATTTAAAGCTATGGCTGGCCACATTTAGCCATACATGAAGCTGTATGGCTTTTTTTTCCAGCTGGAACTCAGTTCCAGCACCTCTCAGGTAGACACCATTGCCATCACAGTGGTACCTCTGGTTATGAACTTAATTCATTCCGTTCTCAAGCTGAAACCATTCTTAACCTGAGGTACTACTTTAGCTAATGGGGTTTCTCCTCACCACTGTGTGATTTCTGTTCTCATCCTGAGGTAAAGTTCTTAACCTGAAGTACTACTTCCTGGTTAGCGGAGTCTGTAACCCGAAGTGTTTGTAACCCGAGGTACCACTGTACAGTGATACCTCGGGTTACAGAAGCTTCAGGTCACAGACGCTTCAGGTTACAGACTCCGCTAACCCAGAAATAGTACCTCGGGTTAAGAACTTTGCTTCAGGATGAGAACAGAAATTGCACAGCAGCGGCACAGTGGCAGTGGAAGGCCCCATAAGCTAAAGTGGTGCTTCAGGTTAAGAAGAGTTTCAGGTTAAGAATGGACCTCCGGAACAAATTAAGTTCTTAACCTGAGGTACCACTATATAAAAGAACAAGGGAGGCGTTCATGGTGAGTTCCGGCACCTCTTTTTCTGGAAGGACAGAACTGGTGTAGACACCATGGGCAAGGGTGCTGCAGCACTGCCCAACACTACGGAGACACTAGGGAAAGGCCACAGCACGATTCAGACTAGACAGAAACTGATGGCACTAAACGTGGGTTGAGCCCTTGCCAAGCTCACCCTGCCCAACACCCGCATGCAGAGAAACCTCTTGGAAACAAGAGAAGTTGAAGGGTGACCATAATATTTCAGGGCAGATCAGTTAATCCTTGTACACCTCACCTTCTTCACAGCCGTAGGGCTGCTTTCTGCGCTGTGGACTGGGCTGGCTACAGGGCTCGCCTGTTCTTGTGGAATGCACCTGGCCATATACATGTTGTAATCCAGAAGCATTTTTTGTCTCACGCTGGCTGCCAGTTCCTTCTGCTTTGGCTGGGAGAGAATTTCATCGATGCTCCCTTTGCTGCTGCTACGGCTGTGGGTCAGAGCTCCAGACTGGCTGTCGGATCGACTGTGTGCTGGCAAGAATCCTAAAGGCCGGGAAGGGAAAAGGCCTCCGTCATTAATAAGTAATCAAATAGGAAACTCAACGACCATGAAAGTCAGGAGTTTAAGATGCTAAGATTCTAGTGAGAGGCGATGGCTACAAGGCAAGTCTTAGAAGAGCAGGATGAAAAGCATGGGGTTTTTTGGTTGTTGTTTTTTACACTAGCAGCCATGAAAGTGGATGCAATAAAAATATCTGCCAACTTTCTGTACATTAGAAATGGGCTTTAATTTAACCACGGGCGCAGTTTGGAGACATCCCCCTCTCACTTCATCTCCTCATATGTGTTTTTATTAAGTTGTCAGTGAAACATTTTTTGAATTTTTACACTGCTGTGCCAGACAGTGCTCCAAGGCAAACGACAAGCAAAGGGGTTTCTTGCAAGTCTTTTCCAGAAGCTTTCACGCATATTATCTTAAAATCAGCAAGGTGGGTTACAGCAATTGCAGGAAGCAACTCCCATGTGGAAGGGAACCACAAGGAAGGAAGACATTAATACAGGAATTTCCAGGGGAAAGGTAGCCAAGTCACAGCTGCAACATGGCTGCTTACAGTCCACCCAATTTTGGCTGCATACACACCAAACATTTAAAGTATGTCTCTTCCCCCAAAGAACACTGGGAACTGTAGTTTGTTAAACATACTAGGAACTGTAGCTCTGTGCGGGATAAACTACAGTTCCCATGATTCTTGGCGGGGGGAAATAACATCCTTTTCAGTGTATGATGTGTAAGCAGAGCTTTTTTTTCAGGCGGAACTTTCCGGAACTCAGGTGGGCGCCACTGCCATTATAAGAGAACAAGGGAGGCGTTCATGGTGAGTTCTGGCACCCCTTTTTCTAGAAAAATAGCACTAATGCTAAGGAACTTAACCATACAATGGGAACAAGATTCCCATCAGGTTTATATAATGAGCAGAAAGCTATACCTATCCCCATGGACTTTTAGCAAAAATCCTCCTCCTCTGTTTAATATACCTGGGTGAGTGAAGCTTTAAGAAAGGGAAAACCCCTTGATAGAGGCAGCAGTATGGATAAACCTTCATAGGCTATGAGAAAAAGAAAAACCTCTGAATGACATTGCAAACAGAATAATTGACAGAGCAATCTTGATTTGGGCCAGGTAGAGCAGAGAAACAGATCTAGCACCACATCCAAAGCCCTGTCATCTCACGCTGGTCAGGGCAGAAGGGGAGGACAGGACAGCTGTGTCTAATTTTCTGCTTTGCCAGTGGGTGCAAAACTGCTGGCAACACACCCCTCCCTGAAAGGCCCCATTTCAGGACTTTCAGGTTGCTAACAATGGCAAGAAAACCCCTAGCAGTAGCTCTCTCTCTCTCTCTCTCTCTGCTTGCATGGCTGAAGCTTGGACTTCTGCCACAGCAAAGCCCATCCCAGCTGGCAGGATTCTTCGATGCTGGCAGAGGCTGGTGGAAAGGCAACTATACCCAGCCTTAACCTGCTCCGTCATTCGTGTTGGAAGGAAGAGGGTATAGGATTGCCCTGTTCATTTCAAATCAACAGAAGGAGCAGATTAAGTGCCTCTAAATAAAAATTCTGTAAATTCAGCAGGTTATGCAAACCTGACAAGTCTGCATGAATTGAATTTGTATATTTGTATTTATTGCATAAAACAGGCAAGGACTGCCCACCACAGTTAATAGAAATGATGATTTTGAACAATGGCAGGGAATGTGCAAACCTAGGGGGAGGACTGTGTCCTGAAGTTAGTGAGATAAAACTCTGTGTTTTTAAAAAGCCTGACATCACTAAATGCTTAGCAGAACTGCCTAAACTTCCCTTGGTTCCTATTTTATTTTACTGATGCACTATGCACTCCAAGGTTCAAATTATGGCCAAATTTCTAGATTCTACATCTATGTTGCTAAACGACGTCAGAGCTAACTTAGGCACGTTGCAAGCTGCAAACATTTTGTTCTGCAAATATTTTAAAAGAGGGGGAAAAGATTTGTGATGGGAGAGGAAGGGTGAAATAAAAAAAGGCCTGATTAAAAATTAATGTCTGCTTGCCACATTCGATTTTAAAATTACACATCTTAAGCAGTGTGTCTGATGTTTCTTGCTAATGTAACTTTAGAACATTTAGATTCATGCAAGTTTCAGTCAGTGGTATGGCCTCAACATTTTTCCTAAATATTTTTCTCTGAAGAGTGACTGACGCACATCTGATCATTCTGAAGAAACAGCAGCGTGTTTTACAAAATGACACCAATTAAATAAAATGTCAGAAGCACTCTAGAAGAGTATGCCTATACCTCCCTCCCAGACACTTGAAAACAGAACGTCCAAACATTTTACAAGGCCCTTTTAAAGAGAAAAGCCAAGCTTTTAAAGAGAAATTGTCGAGCCAATAGAAGGGCAAACTACAAAGTTCACACAACATTTGCTGACGGTCAGACACTACTTTATATTTTTCCTTTAGGAAAGATTTTTTAACAGTAGTGAACATGCTAGCAGATACCCTAAGCTCTATTTCCACCCAAAAGGCTCATTTGACTCCGTGCAGCAAAGTACATATGGCAGGATATTAAAATGCAGATAGTTAAAAATGGATTAATAAATGCACGACGACTCTGGGAGGAGTTAAATTGTCCCCAGACTGCAGTCTAGACATGTTCTGTTTAACACACTGAATGCCCAAATGTTCCTTCTGGAATATATGCCACTTCCAATGAATCTTTTATAAGCTGGTATTTTGAGCTTGCTACAAGAAGAATCTTAATAATATGAGAGAACAGGCTCCTACCAGGCTTTTGTCCACACACAGCAATTGGCTTTTTCCCTTCAGATTTCAATTTGGAAGCCAAGAGGAACCTCTGAAACCATTCCTCCTTCTCCCTACCAGTCCTCCCAAAGAGATAAAGCACTTGGTCCTTCTGAGTGATGGACTTCGCTCCATCCTGAGGTTGCCTCTTGGGTTCTTCACTGCTCGCTTCCACTTTTTCTACGGTGGGCTTCTCTTCCGAGGTCTCTTTGTCAGCCTGGGCTTTAGCCATGAAGTCGTCTTGTCTCCCAAGCTCAATGCAAATTGGATATTTTTTGTTCCAGATTCTTTTCCGGGCCAAACTTTTGGGTACCAGGTGAATCTGGAAAACAAGTTGCGAATTCATTTCATTGGCCCACCACACCAGGCAGGGAAATACGGAACGGTAGGCATTCGTTGAATACGTAATCAACTGCAAACGACGGTGTACAGGGACCCTCCTTCACCATTTGGTCTTCTTGAGCTCTAGGATTCTTTCCTAGAGTTCACAGAAAGCCTGGGAAGGCTTGGCCCAGAGGAGTTCCCCATCAGTCCCTCTGCTACCCCCTATTTTTCCTCCTGTCAGTCCCCACCCCCAAATAACAATATAAGTTTGGGAAATTAGTGGGAGAGGAGGCCAGTTTAGCTAATACCAAGAAGAGTCAATTACTACTACTACTACTACTACTACTACTAATAATAATAATAATAATAATAATTTATTATTTATACCCCACCCATCTGGCTGGGTTTCCCCAGCCATTCTAGGCAGCTCCCAAGAGAATATTAAAAACACGATAAAACATCAAACATTAAAAAACCTGGCCACAGTGATCCATGCGACGGTCACCTCCAGGCTTGACTACTGTAATTCACTCTACGCGGGGCTGCCCTTGAAGCTGTCCCAGAAACTCCAGCGGGTGTAACTCCAGGCTCCTCACAGGGTCTCTGCCATGGGAGCATATTCACCCAGTGCTTTTCCAGCTGCACTGGCTCCCGGTAGAGTACCGGGTCAGATTTAAGGTGCTGGTTTTGACCTTTAAAGCCCTTCATGGCCTAGGACCTTCGTAGCTATGGGACTGCCTCTCCCGGTATGCCCCACGGAGGACCTTAAGGTCCATAAATAGCAACACCCTAGAGGTCCTGGGCCCTAAGGAAGTTGGATTAGCCTCAACCAGAGCCAGGGCCTTCTCAACACTGGCTTCGGCCTGGTGGAACGCTCTGTCTCATGAGACCAGGGCCCTGCGGGATCTGATTTCTTTCCGCAGGGCCTGTAAGACAGAGTTGTTCCGCCTGGCCTTTGGCTTAGAATCAGTTCAATTCCCTCCCTCTCTTTCTTTTTCCTTTCTCCTCCTGTGAAGAGGCTGCATCCTAATGTTTTAATCTTGTTTTTTAATCTTGTTTTTAAAATTGTATTTTAATCAACTTGTTTTTATTATTGGTTGTTAGCCGCCCTGAGCCCGGTCTTGGCTGGGGAGGGTGGGGTATAAATATAAATATAAATATAATATAAATAATATAAATAATATAAATAATATAATAATAAATAATATAAATATAAATATAAATATATAACTTCCCTAAACAAGGCTGCCTTCAGATATTTTCTAAAAGTCAGGTAGTTGTTTACTTCCTTGACATCTGATGGGAGGGTGTTCCACAGGGCGGGCGCCACTACCAAGAAGGCCCTCTGCCTGGTTTCCTCTAACCTCACTTCTCGCAGGGAGGGAACTGCCAGAAGGCCCTCAGCACTGGACCTCAAGTGTCTGGGCTGAATGATGGGGGTGGGGATGCTTCTTCAGGTATATGAGGAGTGCTTGTTTTCAGAGTGCAGGGCCTGCTTCAACCTGCCATGTTGAGGATCTTCCAAGCTGGAGCAGGTAGCTCCCCCTTAAATTCTAAAATTTAGCACCATCTCCAATTGCAAATGGAGGCAAACAAGAGTCCCAATATAATAAACTCTTTCAGTTCTCATTATTTACTTGTAGAAGAAAATAACTTCTACAAGTTAGTTTAGGGAAGCTTTTAATGTTTGCTAGACTGTTGTATTTTGGTGTTCTGTTGGAAGCCGCCCAGAGTGGCTGGGGAAACCCAGCCAGATGGGCAGGGTATAAATAATAAAATTATTATTATTATTATTATTATTATTATTATTATTATTATTATTAACTTGCAGAAGAAAACGAACTTGAGCATCCACAACATTGGTAGTGGTAGCGAACTTTAACACAAGTAGGCAATGCAAGTCTCAACATATTCAAGGCCCTATATGGTGACTTCAACTGAACGACATGGGCAATGGCATGTCTGCATGGACCCCTAAAAATATCAGTTACATTATGTCAGTATACTTAGGCACCGTCACCAAATAACCCATTTTTAGCTGATTACATTGGTCTATTGGTCCCATTATTGTGTAATAATTCTCAAGAAAACTCCACAGCCAGTTCCAAAGGGATGTAGCCAATGGTGGCTTTGTGGTAGAAGAAAGCACTGACAGCCATACAAGGCAAGGCACTCAAGTTCTCCCCAGTTCCCTTTGCTGTCTTTGAAGATGGAGGCAGCAACATTGTGAAAATTCAGCATTGGTATTTAGAAAGGGGAAAATTAGGTATTTAGGAAGATACGGGGATAACACTGAAAACAGAATCCCTGCGTTCTCAACACACACCCCTTCACCAATATACACAGCTCTCACACCAACACACATAAATATTAAACGCATGACATCATGCTACAAGTTTTCCTACCCCACTCTAGTTCCATGGCTATTATCTGAGGGGCAGGAAAACATACACCATAGTGATGTCACATTTTGAGTTTCCTTGGATGCAGTAGAACAAAGAGATGATGCAAATAAAATATTTTATTATGTTTGGCAGCAAACCATAATGGCTAGTCCCATTATCCAAAGAAAAAACATTGCAAGAGACTTAAAGTGGGGTGGCTCACCTGTGACTTTCCAGATGTTGCTGGACTGCAATTCCATCATCCTTCACCATGCTGGATGTGGCTGATGGTAATTGAAGTCCAACAACATCTGGATTGAGTTAGCCACCCCTGGATGATGATGATGATGATTTAAAACCCACTTAAGTCCTCATGCAGGAGCTACCCATAGAATGTCATTGGAACTCACCTTGCTTTCTGTAAGATCATAAATTTTCTGGCTAATGTAAGTGACTTCCGGCTTGGCTTCATTGTAAATAGCCCTTCTGGAGATATTTTTGTTGGGGTTTGAAAGTCTCAAGGTGCTTCCTTCAAGTCTCACGTAGACAGAGTGAGTCAATGTAGCATGGTATGTCTCTGGATCGTAGTTATGGATCTCATTCATCCAGCCCTGGAGAAGACACAGGAATTTTATTGAAAGGCGATTCAGAATAGTTCCCAAGGCCAATTTAAAATATCAGCCACTGAAAGCCTAAATCCAACAGAACAAGGTCAAACTACAAACGAGACAAAATCAAGGTTCTGTACGGCAGCCACCTCGAGCGCTGCAGGGAGGAACCGGTTCCTGCCTTTCCATAGTGTGTCAACCTCATCCATTCCATAATCCTTGAAGAGTAAATACATTTTGACACAGAGCCAGAGCAGGTTGGAGCTTGTTAATGGCAAGGCAGGCCCTAGGACCTAGAAAAAAACCTGGAAAGCTCCTTATCCCTAGGACCTTCTAAGTGTAGAATTAAACGATTTGCAGCAGTGGAGAAAGGATTAAGGTGGTTAACCTGCCCACGCTTAAAAGTGAATGGAGGATGTGGTAAAATATTATTATTATTACTATTACTATTATTATTATTATTATTCCCCCGCCCATCTGGCTGGGCTTCCCCAGCCACTCTGGGTGGCTTCCAACAAAATATTAAAATACCGGAACACATCAAACATTAAAAGCTTCCCTAAACAGAGCTGCCTTCAGGTGTCTTCTAAAAGTCTGGTAGTTGTCTTCTAAAAGTCAGGCCCTCTGCCTGGTTCCCTGTAACTTGGCTTCTCGCAGTGAGGGAACCGCCAGAAGGCCTTTGGCGCTGGACCACAGTGAACGATGGGGGTGGAGATGCTCCTTCAGATATACTGGACTGAAGCCATTTAGGGCTTTAAAGGTGAGCACCAACACTTTAAATTGTGCTCGGAAACGGTACAAAAGGCCTCACTGAGACTCTTGCTTGCTAGCCCTGCAGGCAAGTCAGAGTGTGCGGCTGAAGCAAGGCCTCCATCAGTGATATCTTAGAATGGCAATGGCATCCACCTGAGAGGTGCTGGAACCCACCTGAGTTCTGACAAGTTCTGACTGGAAAAAAAAAGCCAAGGCCTTCACCATCCCCACTCACTCACCTCCCCCAAATCCTGGGGACTCCCGGCAAGCAAAACACCCAGGATGCTTTATGGACCTGCTCTTGTCTCTCTCCCAAGCGCTACAAAAACATGTGATCTGTATGCTATCGGAACAAAGGGGTCTGCAATTCTGACATGTCCAAAAGCTCTTGGCAACGGCATGGAGCTCAGGCGGCCTCTGCTATGCAAACTGAAGTTTAGGCAAGGCCCATAATCTCCAAAGAAGGGGGATTCTCCTCCACACGCAAACACTTGGCACCATTTCCCTAGCTACAGAAGAGAACAAAACAGCCTCTGTATGCCTGAAGCTCTTGGGTACATGGTTGGTGTCACGTAAGGGCATCATTAATCCATTGCACAAGACAGATGCAACATTAAGGCAAAATATGCTCACTGAGAGCAACAGAAAAGATCCCCCAGCAGAATACCACTCTATAGCAGGAAATGAAAGTCTTACCATAGAGCCATGGTTCCCTAGAACAGATTACCTTTGAGGCAGGAACACATGCTTACAAAAACGTAATTCAGACCAGTTTCCCCGTTGCTTCCCCCAACAACCCGTAGTCCCTGTCTTCCTTTCAATTTAACTGGGTAATGGAATTAGATTAACCACATGCTGCTCAACTGATTTATTACACCTGTTGGCTCAGGTTTTATAGTTAGAATAAGTGGATTAAGCTCTGCCAGTCTAACCACATTAGAAATCCATCCCACTCCTTTAATCAGTTTGTGAACAGAAAAATAGCACACCTTCATTTCTTCGACACTCTGAATGTTATTGGTTAGACCTGGGGTGGGGGGACAATGACAAGGCAACCTTTTCAAGGTCATCTTGCAACCACTTTTCTCAAACTACAGGTGAACAGTATTTATAAAGCAGCAGGTTTACCTACGTTATTCATGCCAAAAGCTGTCACCACCATTGGTCTGTATCAAGCAAGCAGTGCTCGGACTGTCAATACGAAAACGGTACTTAACGTTCTCAGAAGTAATTGCATAAATTGTTTTCAGAAGAAATTGTATAAAGGCATACAAAAATATCACATACAGAATACGGAAAAACGACATTTGAAAGGCAGAGCGAGTAAAACGAATCAATCTCTTACTCAATAAGAGCAAGTAGGGTCCCTGGAGTTGCAGATCAGAAGCAAACCTTTTCATAACTCACGTACGCAAAACATTTTTTACTTTTAGCATTTTGATCATATTCAGAAGCATGTCTTGCTGCATCACATCCCTGAATGCTGCTTCTCCCCTGGGCCTACCCAAAATGCTCTCTGAACACAGGAACGAACATGTCAGGGAGAAAGCTATCATGGAACCACTCTTTCTTGTGTTCTAGATTTCCACGGCAAGGGACTTTTCATTTGGGAAAGCATTCAAAGGTGCTACCCTGTCCAGTTTTCTGCAGCCATACACTCCAGGCAAACTGTACCAGGTACAGATCCAAAATATGATTTTGGGCTGCCCTTGCTAGCTAAGCTAAACCTTGTCGGTTGCCAACTTCTTCTGTTCCTCCCCTTTCCCTGCCAAGGAATCCCCACTCCAGTCTTTCCTAGGAGAAAGACAGGATGAGAACATGTCGACTAAGCCAGCTAATTCCCCTTCAATGGTGCTTTATATGAAGTACTTTGGAAACAACAATTTGAAACTAACTACTTTTTAACGCAGCATTTCTGCAGCAGCTACTTTCTGCATTAGAATGGCGAGTGCAGGTTTACATAGTTGCTTTAGTTCTAGGTACTTGGCATCCATCAAATTTCTGCTTTAGTTAAATTCAATGGAACGTTAAAAGTGGTATTTTGTGCATAACTGCAGTGCCGGATTAAACTCTATGAAGGCCCCTTGGCAGTTGAAATCTCGGGGGGGGGGGCCTTGCAAGAGTGACAACAAACAAGATCAAATCAATATTATTTTGACCCTATGTCACGGGGCCCACAAAATGCATGGGGTTCATAGGCCGGTGTCTACTGTACCTATTCAGTAATCCGGCATAAATAATTTGTGGCACAATGTTTCATGAGCAAGGGCCCACTTCACCAGATGCTATAGTCCAGGGAAGCTTATGCAACAAATCTATTAACCTTTCTAGTGCCACAGAGCCCTTTTCTGTGTTTGCTGTAAATAAAGGTAAAGGGACCCCTGACCATTAGGTCTAGTCGTGGCTGACTCTGGGTTTGCGGCACTCATCTCGCTTTATTGGCTGAGGGAGCTGGCGTACAGCTTCCGGGTCATGTGGCCAGCATGACTAAGCCGCTTCTGGCGAACCAGAGCAGCTCACGGAAACGCCGTTTACCTTCCCGCCGGAGCGGTACCTATTTATCTACTTGCACTTTGACGTGCTTTCAAACTGCTCGGTTGGCAGGAGCAGGGACCGAGCAATGGGAGCTCACGCTGTTGCGGGGATTCGAACCGCCGATCTTCTGATCGGCAAGCCCTAGGCTCTGTGGTTTAACCCACAGCGCCACCCGCGTCCACATTTGCTGTAAATAGGGTTGGCCTATTTCAAAAAGTGAAAACCCAGACACAAAGGTAGCTGAGCTTCCAACACAGGCTGCCATACTTTCAGCTACTTCTGCCTGAATACCAGCCGTGTCCAGGAAATTCCGGATGTACGGCAACCCTAGCTGTAACGCAGTTAACCCCTTCTGGAATTAAAATCAACACAATTCATGAATACCCACCAAATTATATCTTGAATTATTATTTATTAATTACACTTATATTCCTATACACCACAGGTCTTGGGGCGGTTCAATCTCAGAAAATTTCTGCATTTCACTCTGGACTAGAAAGGCACATAATTCTCTATCCCTTACCTACACTAAAAGTGTCAAGGTAACAATTGTGTGGTGCCTGGCAGTGGGTAACTACACTTTCCCGGTGTGGGTGGATTACTCCCTATGGATATTTGAACATATGAATCATACTGGGTGACGCATATATCTCCAATAAACCTGCTCACGGAGACGACGAGCAAAAACATATCATGCAAATCCGAGCAGGATAATACGCGACACAGATATGACAAAGGATTCCTAGCAGGAAGTGCAACTTAAGCTGCCTCAAGCAGGGCAGGAGCGGAAGAGAACTCTTCTCCTGCTTTCCAGCAACTGGTATTCAGAGGCAGGCAGCCCCGACTCTAGAGGCAATATCAATGACTTGGATGATGGACTCAAGGGCATCCTGATCAAATTTGCAGATGACACCAAACTGGGAGGGGTGGCTAACACCCCAGAGGACAGGATCACACTTCAAAACAACCTTAACAGATTAGGGAACTGGGCCAAAACAAACAAGATGAACTTTAACAGGGAGAAATGTAAAGTATTGCACTTGGGCAAAAAAAAATATGAGAGGCACAAATACAAGATGGGGGACACCTGGCTTGAGAGCAGTACATGTGAAAAGGATCTAGGAGTCTTGGTTGACCACAAACTTGACATGAGCCAACAGTGTGACGTGGCAGCTAAAAAAGCCAATGCAATTCTGGGCTGCATCAATAGGAGTATAGCATCTAGATCAAGGGAAGTAATAGTGCCACTGTATTCTGCTCTGGTCAGACCTCACCTGGAGTACTGTGTCCAGTTCTGGGCACCACAGTTCAAGAAGGACACTGACAAACTGGAACGTGTCCAGAGGAGGGCAACCAAAATGGTCAAAGGCCTGAAATGATGCCTTATGAGGAACGGCTAAGGGAGCTGGGCATGTTTAGCCTGGAGAAGAGGAGGTTAAGGGGTGATATGATAGCCATATTCAAATATATAAAAGGATGTCATATAGAGGAGGGAGAAAGGTTGTTTTCTGCTGCTCCAGAGAAGCGGACACGGAGCAATGGATCCAAACTACAAAAAAGAAGATTCCACCTAAACATGAGGAAGAACTTCCTGACAGTAAGAGCTGTTCGACAGTGGAATTTGCTGCCAAGGAGTGTGGTGGAGTCTCCTTCTTTGGAGGTCTTTAAGCAGAGGCTTGACAACCATATGTCAGGAGTGCTCTGATGGTGTTTCCTGCTTGGCAGGGGGTTGGACTCGATGGCCCTTGTGGTCTATTCCAACTCTATGATTCTATGATTCTATGAATATACAGCTATCATGACTAAGTAGCCATTGATAGGCTTATCCTCCCTGAATTTGTCTAATTTGCCTTCAGAGCCACCCAAGCCATCACCACATCTTGTGCTGGCAAATGCCACAGTTAGCTGTGCCTTGTGTGAAAAAGTAACTTGATTTTGTCTGTTCTTTATCCTCTCACCTTTCAGCTTTGTTTAGTGGGGTAGGAGAGCTGCGGGGGGGAGGGGGGAATCATATCTGGCAACCAATGCGCCCCTTTGGTTTCAGATAGTACACATGAGGAGACGAGTCTGGAAAGCCCAGGACACAATTTTTCATGGCACTCTAGCAGCTAAGGTGGCTCATTTACCAGAAGTCATGTATTTAGCGTTAACTCTGGAAGTGTATACAGTGGACGCTGCGGGTTGCAAACGTGATCCGTGCAGGAGGAACATTCGCAACCCGCAGCGCCACGTCTGCATGGGTCGCAATTCCGTGCTCCTGCGCATGTGCAAAGCGCGATTTAGTATTTCTGCACATGCGCGAGCGCCAAAACCCGGAAGTAACCCGTTCCGGCACTTTCGAGTTTGATGCGGTACAAACCCGAAAACACGCAACCTAAAGCGTCTGTAACCTGAGGTATGACTGTACTCGATTCTGACCAAACGAAGTCTCCTGATATATACAGTGGAACCTCGGGTTAAGAACTTAATTCGTTCTTGATGTTTGTTCTTAACCTGAAACTGTTCTTAACCTGAAGCACCACTTTAGCTAATGGGGCCTCCCACTACTGCTGCGCCGCCAGAGCATGATTTCTGTTCTCATCCTGAAGCAAAGTTCTTAACCCATTTATGGGTTAGTGGAGTCTGTAACCTGAAGCGTCTGTAACCCGAGGTACCACTGTATATTGTGCTCTAGGAGGTGTAATATACAAAATATAGTGATTTTATGCACCTGTATATAGCTACCCTTAACTGCCTTTTTTCTTGCTTTTATAAATGATCTTTATTGAGATTTTATATGAACCAAATACGAAACAAAATTAAAGGAACAAAGAACACTAGACAATGTTTGGTAGAGTAGTTCGAAATGCCACAGTGTATATCAACAGAAGAAAGGGGGGGCATAAGAAATAACAGGCGAACTCGGGGAGGAGCCAGAGTTGACTAAGAAGTGGGTTGCCATATTTCAATCAGTGAAAATCTAGACACAAAAGTTGTTGAGTTTTTTTTGAGGGGGGGGGAGTTGTTGAGCATAATCACCTCGGAAGCTAGAAAGCCCCACTTTTTAACCTTCCCACCCTACTGATCTGTAGAGAAGTGTGAGCTGGAACAAGAGGAATAGTGGCAACACAGCCACCTCTATAAAGTTAAGAGAGTTTTGTACATTAAACTGGACCCAACATTCCCTTTTTGGAACAGTGAGATCTTGGTCAAATGTGGACCAAGCACAAAAATGAGGTCATTTGCCCGAACATTTTCATACCCCGACAGCAATAACATTTTGGATGCCTCAACAGGACATGGAACCTTAGGGGGCCTCCAACTAAAGTTTTCTCAAAGATAGACATACTGAAAATAAACATGACTCAGTTAGGTCCACTAATTTCATGGGGTCTACTCTGAGCAAAACGGGTTGATTATTGCCCTAAGCTTCCTCAAACACTCTACTGCCAGAACAACTTGCCAGGCAACAGCAGGAAAATTAAGCCACAGCCCTTATCGCATAAACATATGGAAAACTGAACAATGAGCTACATTGTGTGATTGCCACATGAGCTATTGCGGCAACCCTCTTAAAAATCAAATCCTTGGCAGCACTGGAAAATTCTTCTGAAAGAAAAAAAAAGAAGCTGCAAAGCCTCTTCAGAAATTAAGAACACTAACATATCACTTCAGTAAACAGACTTAAGCTCGTTCCTTTGCCTGCAAGATCCTTCAACGAACAGCAATGCCGAAGAAAGCTTCAACAATCTTTTGCCACAAGAAATTCAGTCTAGCACTGTGAAGGTGTGGTCACAACCTTCCTGGCTCCGCAAATTTGCCTTTAATCTGTACCTGTCATGGCGGGAGCTCAATGGAACGAATAGGAAGTCCACTTCCCCTATGGGCACCATCCTCAGCAGAGATAATTTAAAAGTCCGTTCCAAGGTCCATGACACATAGAGCTTCCCAAAACAGACGTCTGCTGCAATCCATGCCATTAAAAACAACAACATCCTGGGCTCAGCACATACAAAAGGGCACAGCTTAACTGTGAAGGGCAGAAACAACAACAACATAAACGTCCCTGCACAGTCTCTTTTTGCAAACTAGCCAAAACCATCAAGCACAAGCTGGAAAAGTACAATCTGCAGCAGGGTGGATAAAAATCAATTTAAATCGGATTTTTAAAATAAAATGCTTTTGAAGAAAAAATCTTTCTGAAGATACTTTTCTATTTAAGTTACATTATAGTCCAAAGGCTATTCATCAGGAAATAAGGATTTGTTTTAAGTTTTCCATGTGTGCTAAAACTCAGTCTAAGGTTTTTTTTAAAAAACCATTTAACCACGTCAGTTAACAAACATGGATACATATGCTATACAGTAATGTTATTGCTTTGGTTAAATAAATTGTTTAAATTGCTATTAAGGAAACAATAATTTTTCTCCTTCTAATAAAGCACAACAGAAAAGTTACATCCGTTCGCATCCAGAGGTACCACTGTACTCGGACGTTTTGGCTCCCGAACACTGCAAACCCGGAAGTGAGTGTTCCGATTTGCGAACGTTCTTTGGAACCTGAACGTCTGACGGGGCTTCCACAGCTTCCGATTGGCTGCAGGAGCTTCCTGCAGCCAATCGGAAACCGCACTTTGGTTTCCGAATGTTTTGGAAGTCGAACGGACTTCCGGAACAGATTCCGTTCGACTTCCAAGGTACGACTGTACTTCACTTTAAATAGGCACCATCTTTTCTTTCAGCCTCTTAAGACTGTTTCCTGTCTTTTCCACTTGGGCCCTTCCTATAGCCTTTTGAGAACAAAGCCTGGTTGGCAGTGCTCCTGCTGATTCTTCCAACCACTTTCCCACATCCCAAGTGCTATTGAAGAGGACGCTGGATACAGTAAACTGTGCCCTCGAGGCAAGATGCTGAAAATGCACACCACTCCAGTTTGGCCCTACCCTGCCCCATGAAAAAAAGGGGGCACAAGAAGGCTTCAGCTCCCTTTCCTGCTCTGGATTCTCTAGGAATTCAACATGAATCACATTCTAACAAGTGGGTTTCACTGTCATCATGCGCATTGGAAGCCACATAAGCTGCAGAGCATATATGAAAGTGTGAGTTCCATAATAGCAACAGAAGCCACAATTGCCCAAGCGAGCAGCAAAGCCAATTTTACATTGCCAGAACAATTGGCTCTCAGACGCATGTTCCTGTTGTGCTCCAACTGAATTATATAACTCTGTAACAATTTAGGCTCCCAATTCAGGCTCCCATGGCCTGATCTGTGTGGCCAGAGACACACGGGGCAGCAGCCATTAGACCACCATATTAATCTTCCAGTTATGCAGCCATCCCATGGTAAACCTATACAAATTGCACTAGAAAAGAACTATTACAGTGGTATCTCGGTTTTCAAACATCTCGGAAGTCGAATATTTCTGTTTTCGAATGCTGAAAACCCAGAAATAACTGCTTCAGTTTTTGAACACTTTTCAGAAGTCAAACATGCTACGCGGCCTCCGTATTGAGTTTTCCATAAGTAAATGCTTCCATAAGTAAATGCTTGAGTTTTTGAATGTTTCCGAAGTCGAACGGTCTTCCGGAATGGATTACGTTCGAAAACTGAGTTACCACTGTAACTGAAGCCATCAAAGTCTGACTTTGTGAGGAAGGGTGGCCTACAAATTTAAAATAAAATTAACAGAATAGAACCAAATCACAAAGCAAATCCAACCAGATCTTTAGTGCACATCTACTACAACAGAAGTGGGTATCAACTTGCTATCAATTTGTTATTGTTACATCCTGCACCACTTCTAAGAACCACATTAATCCCCACACCCCTCAGTATGGCTTGAAGTAAATTTGTTATGATACAGGATCATGTGCATCTCCAAAAGTTAGAAGCAGTTGCTCACCTTCAGTATCTCAGGTTCCTGGATGTCCAGAGGGTGCATATTCAATTGCTTGTTCCAATTCCTATGTAGCCTGTTACCTCGAGAACTTGGTATAAAAAGCCAAATGACACAGATAGCAATCATAAATCCCACAGCAACTCCCAAAAAGAGTCCGCTGAAGTAACTGGGAAGAGGGAGAATAAGGTAGGCATAGATCAACATTGTGAGAAAGTACAACGTTTTCATTGGAAGTTTAGGCTGTTGCACATGTAGTTCGGTGCCACCTTCACCGCTGAAAGGTGAGGCAGAGCTTTCCTCAGGCCTCCCCTCTGCCTTCAGGTAGCTTTTTTCGAAAGGTTTGTCAGGTTTACCGTCATCCTCTATCAAACAGAAGTCTTCGGAATACAGTTCACAGAACTCCTCGTCCTCTTTGCTCGCCAGAGCAGACAGAGAACATCTTTCAAGTACCAGTGAGGCCTTCAAACTGGGGTCCTTTGTGCTTAACAACGGGGAGCTTCTTCTGTCGGCCTCTTTTGCAGGCTCCTCCACGTTCTGGGACTGCTTAGCACTCTTACATATACTGGAGTCGCTGCCGTAGAAGTCCCCTTCGGAATCGCATTCCTCCTCCTTAATGCTATAGTTGTTATTGCTTTCCAGATGGCCATTCATGCTGGAGAGATTGGACAGCTCTGAAGCACTTGAAGATAAGGCTTTGGGCCTGTGGCTACTACTCTCGTCACCCATTATTTTGCTGAGGAGCTGAAAAGGCTCGTAGATCACCTCCGAGAAGCGTCTCTTCGTGTCCTCGATTTTGGCCTCCATTTCGGGCACTTTAAAAAAAGAACGTGTATCCGACGGAGACGTCAAGGGGGACGAGGGAGCAGTTTTGGAGTCGCCACCTGTACTCCGAGGCTGGGTGAACTGCTTGAACAGGTGCAAGTTGAGTTTGGAGTCCGGCGGTTTGTAGGAAACCGCTTCGGGCTCCTGCTTAGACGTGTCTGTGGAGAGAGACTTTACCAGGCTTTTCATCAACTGCCTGTGCCTCGTGGGCGGAGTGGCCTCTTTTGGTTCGATGTCTGTCGAGAGGGACTTAACTAAACTCATGAAAGGCTTTGAGCTGGCAACAGCGGATGGTGTGTTGGTCTTGGAAGGGGAGGGCAATGGAGATGGCGACAGGCTGGTTTTCAGTTCTGAAGGCAACGCCACCCCTGATGAGATGGCGGTGTGAGTCAAATGCGAGGAGGACGAGAGAGCTGATGGCACCACACTAAAAACTTGGGTTTCTAAGGGCTTTGCAGTTGGCGAGACAATGGGAGACGAGACGAGTGGAGATGCAGCCACATTAAGCGAGGTAGTGGGACCTGAAGAGTCATGGTCACCGTGATCAAAGCACAGGTCTTCCTTAGCTTCAAGTGCAGTTACAATGCTTTGGTTGTCCAGAGCCTCGGAGGGGGACTCCATGAACTCTTCTTCCTCCTCCTCTTCCTCCTTCCCAAACGCCGAGAAATGAATGGTGATGGTTTCTCGGGAAACTGATCGCTGAACCTGCACTTTGGGCGCGGGCTGCTTTGAAGACATCTCACCGCTTTTCTCTGCATGGCTACTGTTCAGACTTGTCATTGCAGGTCCCAGGGATGCAACAGGGTCTGTGAAGAGGAAGCCAAATGCAAATCAGGTGGAGGAAGATCACAGTTGCAATTAACAAGCTTTTGAATACCACACATGAAAATCAGTTTATTGGCCATGGAGAGGGTGCAAGTTATCATCGCTCACACTTCAGCAGATATATATATTTGGAGGGGGGAATCATACCATAAAACCAAAATATGGTTAAGTGGAGAAAAAGCGGTAAATTGTTTACTACCAAGAACTGAGGCCGATTCTCCTAGCCTTTGGGGACCAGTCTGGATGTTTTATTACTACTGCTGGGAATGGGGTGGGAATGGGAAGAGGGGAGGAGAGAGAAAAAGATCACACCAAACATGCACATCGGTAACCATGACACAGACTGGTCCCCAAATACCCCTTCAAAGTTGGCTCAAAGTAAAGTCCCATGTGTTGATCTTAATGTTTGGATGGTTACCTGGGGACGTGCAATGCAAAGGGATGGAAGGGGGGCGGAATTAGGCCAATTTTTAAGAACCCACTTCTGGTCTGTACTTTTACAGGGATACTAAAACAGTCACTTGGTGCCACTTCAACACAAGCAAAAAAAAATTTACCCGCTTCTAGTCAGCACATTGTAAGCAATGACAGAATTGTGCGAGATGATGGATACAGCATTGTTATTTGCCTCTCCAACTGATTTGTCAAATTACAGCCAGTCAAGATAATTACTGTGATGGTAAAGTACACTCCAGTGATTATAATGGCAAGCAATTAAGATTATTGATGGACAGGATAGGATTTCATAAATCAAAGACGCTCAGTCCCTTTGATTGCACATTAATCTCTTAAAGAACTCATCATATACACACACATGCTGCATTTGTAGACACACAGCTAAGACCATAATGCAAGAAAATTATAAAAATATATATATACTTCACTTGTCAGAGCCCCAGCACATAGCAAAAGAGAGTGCTTTGCGTTCCAATATAACTGATCCTCTTAGGATGTTTATCACCTTTAGTAAAGTGAACCTCAAAATCACATTGCAGAACTGAACACTTTTCAGTCCATAAGTGTTTCTGTACCACCCACACAGCACTAGCACCAGAAATTCTAATTTCCAGTTCAAAACAGCCCGCTAATAGAGCAAGGCACAGGAAGAGGCTTGTATTGCTGAAATGATTGCGCTAGAACATGCTTTAGCTCAGAGAACAAAAATTGTGCTTATTTAGAATGATCGACTATTAACGAGGAGGTGCGTTAAAAGCCCGCTCCATGGGCAGTGAATAAGTCGTGCATTAACCATGGACCGTTGTGTATTGAACTTAAATCTAACTATGCTTTAGAGGCTATGGATATGACAGAGCCCCAAGACCCCAAACTGGAACTGGCACCAGAGGCCCAGCACCGACTTGCCACAGCCTGTATTGTAAAACAGGGAGACTCTTTGTCTTCAGTGTTGTGCAATTAGTGGATGCAGAATTATATTTTCACAGGCTGGCTGAGAATTCAGGTTTCTTTTGAGAATCCATAAGCCATTTTCAGAAGCAGCCGAAAACATAACAAAATCATAATTTGGGGAAATGGGTGGTTGGTGGGGAGATGAGCAAAGTAGAGACTGCCTCAATTGTCAAGACAACAGGTTTGTCACCTTAGTAACTAATTTTTTTTTTGCCGACGGGAGCTGTGAAAGGTGCCATAATCAAACTGTCAAGCAGAACTCATCAGAACTCTTTAAGTGTAACATTAATCTGAAAAACACCTTTACAAAAGAGAGAGAGAGAGAGAGAGAGAGAGAGAGAGAGAGAGAGAGAGAGAGAGAGAGATATTCCACAAGGAACTGGAAACTCCATTTCTATTCTCTCCTTTTTTACAACATAATGGCAAAAGAACCAAACCTTTATCAGTCTGGAATACTGCATAGCAATTTTGCATACTCCACAACTTCATATAATTAACAAATTTGTACAAATTAGGTAATCTAAAAGAGGCACATCGGCACTGGGAGAACTATTATGGGACTAATGCCTATTTTCTTTAAATTATCAGTATTTTACACATACATTTATCTCTTGAAGCCAAAGAGATTTTATTATTTGAAATGCTGGTGCTTTCTTAAAAGAGAGTATCTACTTTTTAAAAAGTTGTTGTTGTTGTTGTTGTTATCATTATTATTATTATTATTATTATTATTATTATTATTATTATTATTAAAATTTATAGGCCGCCGTATACCCAGAGGTCTCAGGGCGGTTCACAAAACAAAATCAAAACAAAACCCCACAAAATACATTATCAAAATCAAAACATCAACCCAGTAACCCTCCCCCAAAGCCCACATTTTAAAAGGGCATAGGATGTCAATCAGGTCAATCAAGCCCTGGTTAAAAAGGAACATTTTTGCCTGGCGCCTAAAGGTGTGTAATGAAGGCGCCAGGTGAACTTCCCTGGGGAGAGCATTCCACAGATGGGGGGCCACTGCAGAGAAGGCCCGTTCTCGTGTTGCCACCCTCCGGACCTCACATGGGTGAGGCACACAAAGAAGGGCCTCAGAAGATGATCTCAGGGTCCAGGTAGGTTCATATGGAAAGAGGCGGTCCTTGCGGTATTGTGGTCCTGAGCGATCTAAGGCTTTATAGGTCAAAGCCAGCACTTTGAATTGGGCCCGGAAACTAATCGGTAGCCAGTGCAGTCGGACCAGGATCAGTGTGATATGCTCAAATCGTCTTGCTCTATTGAGCAACCTGGCCACTGAATTCTGCACCAGCTGAAGTTTCAAACTGTCTTCAGAGGCAGCCCTATGTATAATGCATTGCAGTAGTCTAACCTTGAGGTTACCAGAGCATAGGCAGCAGTAGTTAGGCTATCCCTGTTCAGATAGCTGATGGAAGGCACTCCTGGCCACTGAGGCCACCTGAGCCTTGAGCGACAGCAAAGGGTCCATCCAGGAGTATCCCCCAAGCTACGAACCTGCTCTTTCAGAGGAAGTGTGACCCCATCAAGAGCAGGCGATCTCCCACCCATCCGGTCTAGGGAACTAACCACTGTGGGATGTGAAACACAAGAGCACTCAAGTACAACATTCCTAGAGTGAACATGTTTACACATGGGGAGGGATGTTTGTCCAGCCAGCAGATAAACTTCCTGTTTCCTTCTGGGCTGGGACAGACTTTCTCTGCATGTGACTAGAGGTGGGTATGGCCTCACCTGTGCAGGTAATGACAAAAACACAGGGCAGGGCAGCCATCTCTCTCTTTTGACTACATGCATCAAAGAAGCAACATCTGCTTAGCCAAAGATGCCCTCTTGGCTTCCAGTCAAGAGAGGACAAAGGGACTGTCTTCTTATGAGATACAGTGGTACCTTTGGTTAAGTACTTAATTCGTTCTGGAGGTCTATTCTTAACCTGAAACTGTTCTTAACCTGAAGCACCGCTTTAGCTAATGGGGCTTCCTGCTGCCACCACACCGCCGGAGCCCAATTTCTGTTCTTATCCTGAAGCACTATTTCTGGGTTAGTGGAGTGTGTAACCTGAAGCGTATGTAACCCAAGGTACCACTGTAGTTTCCAGGTATATGTTTCTTTTCTAAGCTAAGTCTGCCTTCTGGGATCCTATTGTGAGCAGAATGATATGTGAGCAAACTCTTTTTATACTTTTGTAGTAGACTGTGTCGTGTCTTATCTTTTATGAGGGAATAAGGGGGAAATACCAGAACAGTTATTATAGAGGCTTTAGCGAGCCTGACCAAACGCATCCGCTGCAAGTTTAAAAAGGGGAATGTTACTCTGCTAAATTGTGGAACTTGTTAACACAAGTTGGAAAAGGATATAATCAAACAATATATCCTCTCCTGCATCCCTGAACATTCCCCCAACCACTAACAGTGCCTCAGTCTTATTTGGATTGAGTTTCAGTTTGTTGGCTCTCATCCAGTCCATTACTGAGGCAAGACACTAGTCCAGTACTTCCACCGCCTCACCTGCAGATGTATAGAAGAAATAGAGCTGAGTGTCATCAGCATACTGCTGACAATGTAAGCCAACCCTCCAGATAACCCCACCCAGTGGTTGCATGTAGATGTTAAGCAGCGTGGGGGATAGGATTGAGGCCCCGTGGAACCCCACACTAGACGTTCCACGAGGCTGAAAAGCACTCCCCGTGAACCACTGCAAAGCGGTGCCACCCGCCCCTAGTTCGGATAGTCACTCCAGAAGGATACTATGGTCGACGGTATTGAAAGATCGCTGAGAAGTCAAGAAGAATTAACAGGGACATGTTTCCCTTCTCTCTCTCTCTCAACAGAGGTCATCATACAGGTGACCAAAGCAGTTTCTGTGCCAAAACCAGGCCTAAACCCCGACTGAAATGGATCCAGAAAATCAGTTTCTTCCTAAAGGCCTTTAGAAATCAGAGTAAGCATGTCACTGTACTCTGCCTTCCCCTCAAGTTAAACACAGGATGTAATTACAGCAAGTTAACATTAACTAAAACAAAGAGGATATCCTGGAACGCAGTACGAATGCATCCAACATGTTTAATTGAATACATTGCATGCACACACAGGGTCAAGTGCTAGGCTGAAAACAGTTGTAGAAGTTCAAACCAGCTCCAAGATCGCACACCAATTCTTAAAATTGATTATTTGTAATGCAACAGACCTATTATTCACTGTGGATAAAGAATATAAGTATATGCCGGGACATTAGCACTTACGCAATGACTAATCTGCTCAAAGCAATGATAGGAACCAAGTTAGAACTTGGATCCATTGCCTCTTGACTGCAATCCTAGAAAGAGTTGGCTGGGAGGAAGTCCCACGGACCTCCGCAGCGCTTACTTCTGTGTAGGCATGAATAGGATTCCACTGCAAAGTAGAAAACATCACCGCACATCCCATGGTCAATTAGAATTTAAGGAACCCAGTGCAACTGAGCGGCTAGGGAAGTCAAGCCATCAGGTACGGTGCTCACTCTGGAATACACAACTAAGAATTGTGGGGGTCACTTCCCCCAGTTAATGTTAAAGAGGGGGCCT